AGCAAAAATTATATTTTTGATGGGGTTTTCAATACACATATTTATATATATTCACATATATATTATACACATGACAACTATACCTGGAAAGCAAGAGGGAAGAGGAACCCATATGGTTATAAGTTTTTTACATTCTATTTGAAGTGGCAAAATATTAATTCTGAGTGGACTGAAAGTTAACTATGTATATTGTAATTCCTAGAGTAGATTCTAAAGTCTAAACAATGTTGAGACATAGTCAAAAACTCAATATATGAATTAAAATGAAACACTAAAATATTTTAAAAATTCAAAAGCATGCAGGAAAGAAGAAATGAACAGCAAACAAATGAAAACAAAAATAAATAAATAAAATGATGGACCTAAATTTAAACATATCAATAATTATGTTAAATGTAAAAAGTCTAAACACACCAATTAAAGACAGAAAATTTCAGGAGGATTGGTGGTGGGAAGTGGAGGGGAGGAGGGGGAAACCCAAGTATATTTATAACCACACACATAAAAAACACTAAAAAACCTTACAGTTACATGGATAAGTTAAAAGTAAAAGGGTGGAAAAATACATACCATGCAAACACCAAGTGTGATAAATATACATGCAAACATCAATTACAAGCAGTGGGTGGGGAGGGAGGGCATGGCTGGGAGGGGCAGCGGCAATGGTATATGTACAAAGATAATAATTTAATAAAAAAGTTATAAGCAATGGGTCTTGACTACTTGTCATTGGGATTTAAACAGCTTTACCACTTTGTGAAATTGCTTGACATTATCTGAGAAAGATATATAACATGTCACTCACGGTTCCATGTCTCAGATATTACCAATAGAAATAGCTCTAAGCAGTTTGGCTCAGTGGATAGAGCATGGGCCCCTGGACTGAAAGGTCCTGGAATTGATTCTGGTAAAGGGCATGTTCCTTGATTGCAGGTTCCCTGACCCTGGTCTGGGTGTGTGCAGGAGGCAACCAATTGATGTGTTTCACTCACATCAATGTTTCTCTCTGTCTCTCCCTCTCCCTTCCACTTTCTCTAAAAATTGCTGGAAACCAAAACCTAACATTGTCACTGGTAATAAAATGTAAAAAGAGCTGGCCAACCTTGATGGATCTGAATGGTCAGAGCTATTAACTCATGTCTAGTTGAGATAGTGGTAGTTGAGGCAACTTTAATTTGTTAATCATATGTAAATTGTTGATTTTATATTGTTGGAATTTCCTGCCTAAGAGATGTTTTTGTCTCAGAATTTCAATAAAAGGAATGGTAAAAGGCCAATGGTAATCTTCCCACTAGAGGTGGACTTCCCGCCTGGCCCCCATTTTCCAAATTAACTTTTTTCCAGTTTCTTCATTTTAGGGTGTGGCCTTCTCCAGAAACCAGACTCTGAGTGGGCCCTGAACCACGCGGGTCATGTTAAGGGATCCCACAAAAAATCAATGGAAAAATATCCTCGGATGAGGATTAACAAAAAAAAAAAAAAAAAAGAAAGAAAAAAGAAATGTACACACAGGTGCACCAAAGGACTTGTTCTAGAAAGTTCTAGAAAGTTCCTGGCCATGTTATAACACAAAGTTGTAAAAACTTGAGTCTATAAACAATAACATGGATAAAATGTAAAATATCCATACAGTGGAGTATCATGTAGCAGGGAGCAGCCCACAAGGGCATGAGTGAGTTTTGCAGCATCATGTTGAGTGAGAAAAGCCAACCACAAAGGAATTAACTCAGAAACAGACAAAACCAGCCTATTGGGTTAGACATCAGGAGAGCAGGTGTTTTGAGGAAGGTGAGAGAAATGATTGAGAGGAGCCTGGCAATATTCTATCTTTTTATCTTTTTTTAATCCTCACACAATTTTTAAAATTTATTTAATTAATTAATTTATTTTTTAAGAGAGAGAGAAACATCAATATGAGAGAGAAACATCAATCAGTTGCCTCCCATATACTCCCCACCAGGGATCAAACATGCACCTAGGTATGTGCATTGATTGGGAATTGAACCCCCAGCCTTTTGGTATATGGGATGACACTGCAACCAACTGAGCCAACCGCCAGCGCGCAGTGTTCCGTTTCTTGCTGTAGGTGGCAGTTTCATGGCCTGTATGTTTTGTGCACTTTTCTGTAAGTGTATTATAAGTCAGTACAAGTTTTGAAAAAAAATTTGAAATTTAAAATTAGCATGGAAGTATTAACAGGGAGGTGCTGATCTTGCTGTGGGAAGAAAGAGAGCCAGAAGAGAAGTGGTTTACGGATTAGAATTGGGAAAGCAAGTACTTATAAAGCATTTGCCATATGCCAGAAATGTCTTACAGGTTTTTATATATATCTTCTCATTTAACCTGCCCCAATTAATAAACGAGAAAATGGAGACAATGATCGTGATCAAGTAATGTTGGAGTGTTGCTCAGATTAACTCCAATTCTCAGTGTCATGACGTGGAAACCAGGGACCTCTGGGTAGAGGCCCTCACTCTTCTCTTGGCAGACTCTGACCTTGTGTCCAAGAAAATTCATGCCCCAGCCCCTGAGGTGCCTGGATTATCCTGGGAGGTGAAGATGCTCTTACAGCTCTAACTTCCATCTGTGAAGGAAAAAGAGCCACATGCTAACCTGGCAAGCTCAGGGGAGGCCTGCGTGGCAGTTTTACAAACTCAGAGACCTAAAATAGCCACAAAAGATGGTTTGAAAATTAAATATCTAACTACAAACAGGTTATAGTGGGCAGTCATATCCTAGGCCGATATTTCACCTGTCAAAGATCAACTTAGATCTTCTTTACTGAGCCCAATTTTCCTTCCGGCCTCTAAGATAACATATCTATGAGATGTCTGGGTAACTTGTAACTTCCCTTTTTCTGGAGTCCCTGGGGCACAACCAAATGTGGTAGGCACCAAGACAGATGCCTCAAATTCCTTCATTATCATGTTAATTGTTCTTGCACTCACTTAAGTGTGAGTCCATCATTTTACTTTTTATCCAATCCCAGGGGTTTCCCACAGGTTTGCTTTCTCCCACCTCCTTACTCCATCACCAATGAATTTCATGTAACCCACCTATGTCCCTCCTTAGATTTCAGTGAATAATAGAAATGTAACCCGCCATTCTTTGGAGCATTATCTCAATCCGTTGAGGTTCTGCTTTCTGGCATATATGACAGTTTGGCTCAAATAAACTCACAACATTTTTTTACAGGTTTCAATGGTTTTTTCATTAACACCTCTCTTCTAGAACCTTACTGACTGAAGTGCCTTGTGAATTACGTAGTTTTCTTATAAATAGCTTAAGGAGAGTGTGTTATACTTTGTTGAATATAATAAAACTAGAGACCCGGTGCAGAAAATTCATGTACTGAAGGGGGGAGGGGGAATACCTCAGCCCAGCCTGCCTCTTCTCATAGTCTGGGAGCCCTTAGGGGTTAGAGGCAACCCAGTGATCTGGGGAAGGCGATGCTCCATCACACCTCTGCTGCTGCCACTCCTGGCTCCAGCCTGGCTCCTGGCACCCAGCTCCTAAGCCACTGTTGGGGCGGCAGCCCCTCCAATATCAACCTCAGCTGAGCCTCGGGCACCCTGGGCGGCTGGGCAGTCACCATCTGAGGCTTGTTTGTGTCTCAGGCCTGCCCTGGGTGGCTGGAGGGCTGAGGGTACTGGGGGATTCCAGAGGCAGGCATGTGGAGCTTTGAGGTTCACTCAGTGGGCCTATTGCCACTCCTTGCGAGGCCTTTGCTTTTGGCTTTGTTTTTTCTAACCCCTGACCCTCATCCCCCGACCCCCATTTTCTCTAGACCAAAGGCCCACCCACCATCTGTGCCAGGTTGGGCAGGCCTGAAAAGCACTGTTTTTGCTGAGGAACAGGCGCTGGTCTCTTCAGGAGGACCTCTCATTACTGGAGCACATAAGACATAAGGCAGTTCTCCCCTCATCCTTCCACACCAGGGCTGAGGCTGAGGCTGAGGCTGAGGCCGCGAGGCCAAGGGGAAGGGACCCAACCTCAGCAGCCTGCAAACTCTGGGTGCCAGGCCTTTCAGCGGGTGGTTGGCTCTAAGGTAGAGAGGAAAGGACTCATCTCCGCATGCAGTGAGGGGAGTTGCCTGGCCGCCAGGTCACAGTCCCTGTGCTGGCCAGCAGGCTGGAGGAGGCAGGAAGGAACTGCTTGGCTCAAAGCCTGGCTCCTGGCCACACTGGCTGGGAAGCCAGGATGGGGCTGGAGGAGAACTGGGGCTTGAGGCAGCACCCCTCCAGCTGGGCCATTCTGGGGTGCCTGCTGGGGCAGATTTCTCCCAGAGACCGTGGTCTCCTCCACCTACTGTGCTGGGGAAAGAGAAGGGTCAGGGAGGCGGGGCGGAGAAAGAAGGAAGCACCAAGTTCCTGGGGAGGGAGCTGGAAGTGAGGGCTGCTTCTCTCCCTCTGTCTTGTTTGAGGCTGAGGGTGGCCTGGGGGGCGGGGAGAAGGAGAGGGAGGAGGGAACAGGGTCGTAGATGTGAGACCCAGCAGGTCAGAGTCTGACCTGACCTAGCAGATTCTTCGTCTCCGCACTGGAAAGGGAGCTGACCAGCCTGGGGCAGGGCTGTGGGGAGAATGGAGTGCTCTTTAGATCCTTGGCTCACTGCAAGTCCTAAATACACGGTCTTTGACAGGTAAACAGCCTTAGCCTGTACTCTGGGCACAGAGGTGGGGGGGGGAGGGAGGCTGGGGTGTGTATGTGTGTGGTTGTGACTGGCATTTCTGGAGTAATATGCTCCCGGATTCAAAAATTCCAAGGAAGGAAGAGACTAGGGAGGTGAGGCCCGTCCGATGCGCAAGCCGACTTTCACTGAGGGTTTCTGGCTGCAGCGGGTGGAAGGACCTGCTCGGCGGGAACGTTTTTGTCCCTCCCAGGCGACGTCCGATGGGTGTGTCGGGCAGGGGTTGATATTGGACGGGCTGCGCCCCGACAGCGGCTTAGGAGCCTGGAGCCAGGAGCCAGGCAGGGAGCCGGGAGCTAAGCAGCGAGTGAGCATGGCCGCCCCCGGCCCACCGCCCCCCACCAGCCACGCGCCCCCCGACGTGCCCTCGGGGCTCGCGCTGTTCCTCACCACTCCCTTCGCCTTCTTCCTTCCCGAGCTGGTGAGTACGGCCCGCGAGACAGCCAGGACCCGCGGGGGCTGGGGCCCTCACCTTTTGGGGGTACGAAGGGGGACCCCAGCAGCTGTTTCTCCCGATCGCTCCACGGGCTCCAGGACACTCTCCACGGCTCCTGCGCTCCCCCGCAGCGCGGGTGTGTGTGTGTGTGTGTGTGTGTGTGTGTGTGTGTGTGCCCTCCTTCCCGCCCGGGGGGGGGGCGCTGATGGGGGGAGGAGGCGCTGCTAGAATCGTGGATCTTCAGGAGAGTTTTGTAAATGGACTTTTATTTTTATGGGTTCTTTTCCCGAGCCACCTTTCTGAAGTTCCAAACGGGGACTCGGCCTCACCTCCTAAGAGGTCTGCTGGTGCCTTCTTGTCAAGTCAGCTGCCGGTGGACTCCCCAGAGGAGGCGGTTTATGACAATCCTGGCCTTAATCTAGGGGTGAGCCACCCTGGCTGCCCACGAGAACCCGTCACCCCAGTGTGACTCTGGGGTGCCCATGGCTGAACTAGGTCCAATTGCTGCCAGACCCTGGCATGTTCTGCAGTGTCCGCTGAGCTGGTCCCCTCCGAGCTGCTGTCATCATGCGCTTCCGCTGATGGGGGCACTCAGTCTGGTGAACAAACCAGGACGAAGGAGCTGGTTCTCCCACTCCTGAAATGCCTGCCTGTGGGGGTGCTTCCTCAGCAGCTCTGAGCCAGGCCGCCCTGCCAGGCAGGGAGGGAAAGCCAGAAAGAGATTCCAGCTTCCAACTGGACCTGGCCAGCCTTCTCACTCTTGTCCTCAGCTTGGAAAGCTGGCCCAACTGAGTGGCTTTTTGGCAAACTGGTTAAAGGGCACCCAGAAAGGAGCCGAAGCAGGGCAGGCCCAGCATTTGGGTGGTTCCAGCTGAAACCTCACCCAACAGGCGGGTTTCTGTCCACCCCCCCCCCCGCCACACCCACCCTCCCAGAGGACACAGTATGGGCATCCTGCCAGGCTGGTGGCATCTTAGTGCTCTTGCAAGTTCTCTGTGCCAGGACCCGGGTGTGTCCTCACCTCAGAACAACCGCATGAATTGCCAGGACTGTGGTTGACTCAATCACATGGTTTGTGTCCACCAGGCAGGCCACAGGTGACACTGCCTTCCCAGGCCCCTGACTGCGGGAGGGACACTGTGAGCACTTCTCCAGCATCACGCTGTGCTCAAGGAGGTGGCCAGACAGGGAGAGGCCATCTGACCTGGTCAAGTCCAGGAGCCCAGGCCTGTGGGCTGTGAATTTTGCACCTCAAACAATAGTCTAGATTTTTGGTGGGGGGAGGGGGAGATGAAGAAGGAAAGGCCTAGAGACCAGGAGAGACTAACAGGCAGGAGACTGGAGGGAAAGGGCTTCTAGAATCAAGAAAGCACCCACATGTGCCCCGACTGGGTGGCTCAGTTGGTTGGAGTGCCCTCCCATGAGCCAAAAAGGGTTTCCAGTTTTGATTCCTGGTGCCTGGTAGGGCATGTGCAGGTCCGAGGGTGGGGAGGAGAGGAGCCAGTCTCTCTCTCTTTCCTCTCCCCTCCCCTTTCTTCTCTTTCTAAAATCAATAAACATATTGGGGTGGGTGGGTGGATGGGGACATCTCTTGTATCGACTCCCAGGATGCCAACTCCTGCAAGTGGAATTCCTAGAGGAGTGAAGTTCGGGATTCTGCTGGGCTTAGGTCATCAATATCTTAAGTGGCAGGATATTGTTGGTGGTTCAATGTTATTCATTTATATTTCTTTTGAAGTTTCAGATTTATAGCAAAATTGATGTTAATAGTACAGAGATTCCCATATACTCTTTTCTCAGACTCCCCTGAGGGCCAACTCAGGTAGTACAACTATCAAAATTAATAAGTTAACGGCCCTATCTGGTTTGGCTCAGTGCAGAGAACATCAGCCTGTGGACTGGAGGGTCTCATGTTTGATTCTGGTCAAGGCCACATGCACTGGTTCGGGCTTCATCCTCAGTAGTGGGTGTGCAAGAGGCAGCTGATCAATGATTCTCTCATTGATGATTCTATGTTTCTCCCTCTCCCTTCTTCTTTGAAATCAATAAAAACATATTTTAAAAAATTAGTAAATTCACATTGTAACTATGTAGCAACTGCCCCATAAACCTATTGAAATTGTGCTGATTTCCCCCTGATGGCATTTTTCTGGCCTGGGATCTAGTCCAGGATTCCACATTGCATTTAGTTGTCCTGTCTCCTTTTCTTATTTAATCTGGAGCAATTTCTCAGTCTTTGTGTTAACACTTTGAAGACTATGGATCAGTTGTTTTGTACAATATCCTGTCATTTGGCCTGTCTAATGTTTCCTCATTATCATTTCATTTTTCCTTCACAGTAATCCTTATTCACTTTTGAAAACTTAGAAAACACTGAAAGAAATATAACTCATACACATACATATATTCATATACATAGTCCTCCTTTACCCATAGTTTTGCTTTCTGTGGTTTAAGTTACCACGATCAACCGTGACCTGGAAATATTAAATAGAAAATTCCAGTAATGAACAATTCGTAAGTTTTAAATTGTGTGCCAATCTGCAGTAGTGTAATGAAATCTCTCGCTGTCCGCTGTCAGCCCAGGATGCGAATCATCCCTTTGTCCAGTGTCTCTGCACCGTATACACCTCCCACCTGTTGCGGCCACCGTGGTTATAAGATCAGTGGTCACAGTATCACAGTGTGTTCCGGTCACCCTTGTTTTACATAAGAATGGCCCCAAACCACAAGGGTAATGACGCTGGCAATTCGGATATGCCAAAGAGAAGCCATAAAGTGCTTCCTTAAAGTGAAAAGTTCAAAGTTCTAAATTTAATAACTAAGAAAAAAAAATCATGCTGAGGTTGCTAAGTCTACGATAAGAATGGGTCTTTCATCTGTGAGGTTGTGAAGAAGGAAAAAGAATTTCATGCTAGTTGCTGATAGAGAAAGAAACCAAGTTTATTACAGTACATTGTTATAATTGTTCTGTTTTATTACTAGTTATTGTTGGTAATCTATTGCTGCACCTATTTACAAATTAAACTTTATCATGTGTTTGTGTGTGTGTGTGTGTGTGTGTGTGTGTGTATGTGGTTTGGTGCTGTCCTGTCTGAGGTCTCAGGCATTCACTGAGGGTCTTGGGCTGTGGCCCCGGCAGGAAAGAGGGGACCACTGTACACATGGACTTATCTAGTTGGGTTATTCTGTTTATGCTGCTTTGTCTGGCTTTCTCCTTAAAGAAGCCTTCTTAACACGCAATATAGAATCATGTGTGCCTCACATCTGAGGAGGGAGGAGGTAACTAGGAGAGGAGGGGAGAACATCGAGGTGAGTGGCCGATTCTTGACCCCGTGGAGCAGAAGGCTTGCTGGGCTGGAGAGGGAAGTGCAGAGTCAGCAGCAGAAGCCCCTCTCTGACCCTGCTCTGCTGGCCGTGCGGTCCACTGTTGCCCACGGGGCTGACCACAGAGCACCAGGCCTGGGGGTCCCAGTAGATTCTCTGTCGTAGGGCCCAAGGCATCACAGACGGTATGTTTTTCTAAGGACATGAGTTTAGAGAAGAGGGTCTAAAACTGGGAGCCCAGGCCAGCAAAAGGAGGCAGAGGAAGCGAAATCAGTAACCTGGCTTCAGATGCAGACATGGGTGGCCCAGTGCAGACATGGGAGGCATCTGCAGGCACATGTCCCTCCAGCCACTGTCTCTTAACTGCCCACTGTGAAGTCTGGAGAGCAGGGCTGGTGTCAGGGCACTCCCCGGGGAGTGAGGATAGCAGAATTATAAACAAGGGGCACGCTGAGGCCCCGACTCCGCTCCTCCACCCTGTGCCCTCTGCTGCCTAGACAGCGGCAGCTCTTGTATTTCCGGACGATGACCGACTAGGATGGCAGAGGGTCCAGGGGGGCCTTAGTGTCCTCTAGCTGCTCTGCTCCCTGCAGCCTGCTCTCACAAGGTCTTTGTCTAAGTGGCCTTATGTTAGAGTCTTTAACATTAAAATTCACATTTTAAACTTTTGATTGTACAGTAATGATAGATCCATAGGCAGCTGCAAAGTTAGTTCAGGAAGGGCTCCCACCTTCATTACATCTGTCATCAGGCTGGTGACAATTTCAAACCAGGAACCCGGGGTGGTAAGGTGTGACTGCATAGGTTTATGTGCCTATATTTTCACCTGGCGAAAGATCTACCTCAGTATCTGTTTTCACTAACGGAGAGAAAGCTGAAGAGGATTTTTGCTTCTATGAAAAAGGCAAAACTAGTGCCTGGTGCTCGCTTGCAGCAGCCAGTAGAGGCAGTGGCACCCCAGCAGCAAGAGTGGCCCCGCCAACCACTTCTGCCCAGGAACCACCCTCAGCATCCAGCATCTCAGCCTCAGCCCAGAGCTCTGAGCTGAGTCTGGGAGCACCTGGGCTTTATCGCCATTGATTTTGTGTCTGTTAGCAAGATGGGTCCTAAGTGAACAGAAATAAGAGAGCTCGGAAAGGTGTTTAGTTGGCGTGAAGCTGGACGTAATTAAGCGTGTTAAGTATGATTGGTAGGTTATTTTGGGGGTGTGAACTAGCAAAACGTTTCCTAAGTAAATTAATGGTAATTGCTTCTTAACTTTATGCCATTCCGGCTTCATAGGAACCTCCACTTTCAGATAGCGGGGAGCCTGTACCTCTGGGTCATTTTCTCACATGTGTAGATTCCTGTAGCCACCACCACAATTAAGATACAGAACTGTTCCGTCCCACAAAGACCTCCGTCCCAGTTCCCTTTTATGGTCTCCTCCACCGCCTTCCAACCCTGTCCCCCACCCACTTCTTGAACCCTGGGAGCTACTAATTCTGACTCGATAATTTTGGTTTTCTGAAAAAGTAAGATAAATAAATGGAATCACACAGCATGTGGCTTTTTGGAACTGGCTCCCTCCCCTCAGCCAGTTCCCTGAGGGCCACCCAGGTTACCGTGTATCCACAGCTCCTTCCTTCTCACTGCTTCACAGTGGTCCCTGGAGCGGA